TCCAGTCATCTCATCACCATTAAAATCAACTAAGTCTTCTCCAGAACTTTTAGTTTTATGGAAGTTGTGGAGCTTGAGATCTTTTTAGCTCAGATTGAAAATGCCAAATGAGACTATCCTTTCAAGTGGGAGACAAGTATTATTAATGTTCCCATCTACTTTCAAAATACCAGGAAGTTGACTGATTTTGATATAATTTTTAAATCATAATATGGTGGAATATATAAGTTACAAAACAAATATATGCAACCTAGTCTTACTTATAAAGAAAATAATTTGAAGTGTTCAGATAAATTCAGGGAACAAGAAGATGCTCCGAGTATGTACATGCTTTATTTTTCAAATTTGCACCATATATATAAAAAGATCTCTTTGTAAATGTTAGAATGTACGAAAATTATGATATACATCTAATACAATCATTTACTCTTTAACTCTATGAATGTTTTCAACATAGGTAAGCATCACTAAAATGTTTTAAAATCCCAAAAGTAAAAGAAATTCACCTATTTTGAGTTCCATAATTCAACTCTTAAAAAACTAATAACAATGTCCTACTCTATCTTCAAAATAAACTCATGGAATCTAAGTGCAACAATTTGGCTCACTTTTTTATTGAATTAGGAATTTGTTCACAATAAGAAAAAAGATGGCTCAGAAAAAAATGTGACATATATATGAATTTCAAGAGAAAAAATATCAAATGGAGTATGATGGGGGGATGTTACTCTTTTCTCTATTTAACATACAGTAATAGTATAGTGTTGGTTTTGAATAATGGATAGAATTCATACCATTTTCACAGCATCAAGATGGCATATTAACAAAGCAAAACTGTGTCCAGTTTTCATTATCTTACTATGAAATAATTAATTCACAAGTCTTAGATTGCAAATAAAGCAAAGAAAAAACTTCATTATTTCAGAATGATGTAGTAACCATTCTTTAAGTGGTGATGCACAAAAGTGGTCTTTCCTATTTAGGAAGGTTCCCACATACCTTACTAGTAACATAAACTATGAACTAAAAGTAAAAAGAACAAAATTATATCTGAAATTGATTTTCCTAAAAGTATACTAGGCAATTTAGCAACAGAGTGATTTCTTATTTCACATTATTTCACTACTCCATACATTAATGTCAACCTGCAGAGGACAATTTTAAGTATTCTTTCAGCTCATACTTTGAAAAATCCCATACACTCATTCTATTTAACTTAAAGACATTTCCCCCTATGATAGCACAATTGTATTTACAACTCATCATAATTTTTAAAAGTTTCCAAAAGTGATAATTATATAACTTTTAAAATAACTAAGGAATAAATGTAGATTAACTCACATAGCTAGATGTCTACATAAAACTACTTAAAAGCTTTTAAAAGTTCTTTAAGAAATAAAATACAGATATGTTTATCTTTTTGTTTGGAGGTTACATTTTTTAAATATTATTTAGATGATATAGCAGAGATCACAGTACATCACTGAACATCATTTTTATAACCTTTATTATTTAGGTGGGATTAACAAAATATTATAAAAAATAAACTACAGAAGATGCATTTGTCACAACTGTCAATTTGAGCTGCTATTACCCAATTGTTATCTTATTGATTTCTGTCCTATTCATTACATAAAATCAATTCTGTCCACTATACCATAAATATTGGCAACTCTTAAAAGTTATCAGTTTTAGAAAATAACTAATTTTCTCAAGAAAGAGCATATTAATGAACATAGAGTCTAATCAAATTTTTTTTCTAACAGTAAAGAAGTTAATATTTTTCTTCTGTCTCCATATCTGTTTATAGTTGCAATGTATCACTCTGAGACCAACTAACTCAACAAACTACACAATAGAATATCCAAACCCTTCCATCAAGGTAGCAAATTAAATTCTGAACTTATCTAAACATTTTTAAGTAACATCATATTGACACAAAATATTTACTTACATTTAATACAATACCCATTGTTGCTACTCCTGCATTTAGTGAACTTTTTTCCTCTTGGAGGTAAATGAAAAGCTACTTCTGAAGCAATTAGAGCTATCCATTTTGCTTCAAAAGATTACTTAGCAATTACATTACAGGCTTGGTAAAATCTTAAGCCAATTTGATTACATAAAATAATATTAAAAGCATAGATATCTTTCTTTGCAAAATTCATATTACTTAAGAAAGAAAAGTTTACAACACTGGACTTTTAAAATATTGTAGCAGGATGTGCAAAATATTTGACAGATATATATTTCCTAATATAATCTTTTATCCTTCACTGCTGGATTTTATTTAAAAGCTATTTTACTGGGTTTGAGTCTTTAACTTTCTTCTTTGGTAACATTGGAGGAAACATAGAATATGCCTTTTTATTCAATATTTACATTTTTGTGATGTTTTCATTTTAAAGTTGTCAAGTTCCAATGGGATAGGAAAAAAGCAAGAAAAAATCAGTTGATAAATTGATAAGGATACACTATTTCATAAAATGTAAAATGTTGAGTCTCTTTTAACAATATCAGCCTTTTGGTGGGGTGTCGTCAGTATTAAATTGGTCCAGTAACCTAAAAGGAGGCGCTGAAAAGCCTCACATTAGTATACTCAATTGACAAGAAAACTCTGGGCACTTTAAAATTCTGCAGATTAACTTTGTCTCAGCCATTTTAAACCCACCATGGAATACTGAGCAGAACAGTTTTCTGCAGGCAAGGCAGATCTATTAAAAAACATGACCTGTGACAAAAATCAATGTGCTAATCTCAAACCAAACAGCAGTATCAGGAACATAAAACAGAGATAACCTAAGATAAAATGTCCTCAAACTCACTCAGACCAGCTTGACAGGTTAAAAAAAAGGGGGTGGAGGGGAGTCCCATCAGTTTTTACCAGGAAAAAAGATAACAGTCAAGTATCAAAAGAAGTGGATACTGAGAAAAAAGGTTCACAATGTTTAAGATGATGAAAAGGAGGGAGATCACCACAGCAAAGAACACCCAAGTTAAACCACCTTACTTCTCTGTTGTTTCACCTAATAAGATCAGTTTAAGTTTTTAAAGTATAAATTCCTCTGTTTCATAAACACTGTTTAATAAAACCCAAAGGGAATAAACGAACCTACATAATGAGCCTTGCTTTTAACACCATCACAACTGGAGCGTTTGCTCCATTTGTCTTGTCAGGTTTAATAAAAGGCACCTCCTCTGGTAGAATGGCTTCTCTTTCTCTTTTTCTAATAGTGCTAAGTGCCATGTCAGAAATGAAATAGGTTGCCCTGTCCCACCAGATAGAGAGATAGAGACGAGTGTGTATCTCGTTTTGGGTATACACTCATACTTAATGCTTCAGAAATGTTTGTTGGCACTTCACCCTGTGTTGCGCATTTATCACTAACAATTCTATTTGTCTGTACGCTTGGTGGAGACTATTTTTCCCAGTTTGAGTGGAAGGGGAAATCATCTTTCTCCACCAAAGGACCAATTCTCCCATCTTCAGCCAGGACCCAGGTGATCCGCCGGGATAGAAATATGCGCCTTCTTTACTGGGCAGCCTTGGCTTCAGCAGGGATTCCCTCTTTTCCCGGGACAATGGAGCGGGTGGAGGGCCGGGCAAACCGGTTGAGAAGAGGCGGGGATCGCTACTTGTACCTCCCTCTCCTGAAGCGAGCGCTGTAGAGCTCGCGGCGGCCACATGGTTCTCCCGGACCACGGCACTTGGCGCGGCTTTCCCGTGAAACCGCGCGCTCCGTGCGGACTCTCTATTTCCCACCCGTTCTGTTCAACTTTTATCTTCATTGTATCGCAGTCCAGTGACCTTATGAGTTCCCGCTGGCCAATAAAAAAATCAGCCCTAGGGGTCGAGCAAAAGCGGGTGGAGTGAAGAGTGGACGGATAATAAAATGGGAGCTCAGCTGGAAGGGATACAAGGCAGACCTGGTCAATTTGGGTCCGCTCTGAGTCGGGACTCCAGTGGGCCCCTGGGGAAGGCCTAGATGTAATGCCAAAGCACCCCGAGACTCCCCCGGTTCATCAGACTGATGATGACTCAGTGGCTGGACGAGACTCAATCAGGTCACTCAGAAAGCCGCGGCTGGACCAAACCAACAGTCCTGCCTCTCCTTTCAGATTTCTCATTTCTCTTTTTCCGGAGGGGGGGGGGGGTTAATCAAAATGTTTATCAACACATACCTCGGAGAACTGGCGAAAAGAGCTACCAAGATAATTAACACGCTTGGTATACATGACGTAACCTCTATTAGAGTAACTTTTTGGCATCATAAAAGGGACGAGGGGAAGGGGAGAGAGAATAGGGAGAAATCTCCTCAACTGCCAACTCAAAGGAACCAGACTGATGGATGGGCTATTGTATTTCCTCTCAGTTAACGAGTTAAAGGAAAACTAAAAGCTTCCGCTTCCCAAGTCTCTCCTTCCCTTGCCAGTGCGCTCAGAGCGCACCGAAAAAGTTTGGGGCTCGGCTAGAGGAGGGGGCTTGACCGACTCGCAGTGCATAAGTGAAACTATTTCCCACAAAAAGAAGAGAAAGAAAATTGGGGTAGGGGGAAGGGAGAGCACGGCTTTGAAACTATACGTTCTGTTCTGGTGGGATATGGCTCGCTTGTCCCAAACAGAGTCGAGAAAGGAAGGAGAACCTCCGCCTGCCTCTCACTCCTTTCAAGGTCTCACCCTCCGTGTCCTAGAGGAGTGAGGGAGGGAAGGTTCATTAGTCCCAGGTGAACCTGGTCTCCGCCTGGCTTCTCCAGGGGCACTTAACAAAGAAATAAGTTGAAGCCTCCTTCCCTATTAATTCGGCCAGGATTTCTATTCCCAGTTATAAAAGGAAAGAGTCCTTCTGATTCTCGAGATGTCGGCGCCTCAGGCGTTTCTTCATTCCCACCAATTCCTTTCCTCCTCCTCCTTCAAATATCTACCCCTGTCCTCTCGCCTACCGGGTCGGCCTAGAGAGGCGAGGACCCTGGATCACGTCCCTCTTACCACCACTCTCTTACCTGGGGTTGGTGCTGTTCCAGTAGACAGCGTAGCGATCAGCGACAGCTTTGGAACCAGGATCCTGGCTGAACACAGACATCCAGAGCACCAGAAACACCAGCATCAACATCTCCACGTGCAACATCACTCCCGTCCAACAGTGAAAAACACAAACACTGGAGGGAGCAGGGGGGAGGGGAGAGGGAGATAGGAAGAAAAGAAATGAGGGGAAAAAGGAAAAGAAGGGTCTCCTAAACAGAACGTAGGTGATGAGGGAATGAGATGTAAACGGAGTAAAGAGAAAAATCACAGATTTTTTTTTTTTAATCAAGAGAGCTCTCCCACCCCCCGGAGGGGGGGAGGGAGCGGGGAGTTTAAGAAAGAAATAAAGAAAATAAAAGAGGGAGAAGAGACGCGTGTGTGTTTCGTGGTTGGGAGGGGGAGAGAGGGAGGATGCCAAATCTGTTTCTTAAGAAGTGGGAGGAGGCTGGTCACCCCGGGAGGGGGAGGTGGGAGCCGAACCGGGCTGTGGCGGCGGCGGCACAACGAGGAGGTGGCGGCGGCACTCCGCGCACATTCACCGGGAGTTCAGTGCAGCAGCTACAGCGAGACATACACCAACCCACCCACCCCGGCTCAGTCCATGCACCTCCAGCTGAAGGTGGTAGAGGAAGCTGACGGGTGGTGGCTCTTCTCCGGCAGTGTTCTCTCGCTCTGCCTTGTCTTGTTCAAAGTTATTTCGGTAGTTGATTAAAAAAGAAACTACCTAAGGAAAGTGGTTGGTTTGGAGTATATGCGTTTCTTTTCTGAAAATAAAATGCTCCCCTCACCGCCACGCTTTCGCCTTTGCTTTACCAAACCCGTGGAAGTCTTTGAGAAAGCAGATGCTGCGGTTCGGGGGAGGCTGTGAGGAGCAGAGATGGGTGGGGAAACAAAATTGCTGAATTAAATCTCACTCTGCCAAGGTCCTGGAAATGGTTAAAAAGTAGTTGGGTTGAAGAAGAATGGCAGTGCCACCCAAACCTTTAAGAAAGTTTGGTCCTTTCCTTTATTCGACAAAAATGCTCGGTAGAGTTTGGCTGCGGTAACTGAGATGAAGCGGTGGTTCTGCAGCTGCAGCAGCAGCAAGAGGAGGAGGAGGAAGAGGAAGAGAGACACCCGGTGTGTTGGAGGAGACTTGATACGGATTTTTTTTTCGTATTCTTTTCTTTGCTGGGCTGTGGGTGCACCAAAGAGTGTAAGAAACAGCAGATGTAAAAATCAGCCAATCCAAGCAGTGCTATGATGCCAAATCAAGTCGACACAAATAAAACTGTTTTGCTGAAGGGTAAAAAAATAATTTTAAATGAATCCGACAAACTCTGGGAAAAGCTGTTGTCAGTCGCCTTGTCCGCACAAGGACTGAGATTGAGACAGAGGCATAAACTGAGATCCAAACATCTGCGGAGCAAGCTGTCAAAGTGTCTCTGTGGCTAAAACGAGTCCAATCCCAGGAACATTAACTTGGAGAAATGCATAAATCAGTTTCAAATCAGAAAAAAAAAAGAGCAAAGAGAGAGAGAAACCTCACCGATGACTACATCAGAAAATCTTGTTCTTCTTCGGCAGCTGCTCCCTCTTCCTTTCCGGAGGAAAAAAAAAAAGCAGCAACAAGAGGGGGGGAACCACGCTGCTACTCCTCCCCTCCCAAAAAAAAAAACCTTACCCTGCAAAAAAATGAATAAACTTCAATGCAGAGGCAACCAGTAAAGGATTTCAACTACTGGAGAGGGGGGCAAAAGTCAGTTTTGGGAAAAAAAGGGGGGGTGCTTTATAGAAGAAAAAAAATCTTTAACAGTCACGCCCCCTTCGCAATGACCTGTGTAAATCCGACTTCAGCATCAACCTAGGATAATCCAAAAGCTAGGCGCCCTCTGTGCAATGAACATATGCGAGTACGTATGCAGCATATACATTTTATATCCATGCATATGTCTGCATGTGTGAGCGATCTGGAAGCTGGTTGGCGTGTGTGCGTGTGTGTTTTCGGAATATGTGCACAGAGGAGGTGCAGCCAGCAAGCTCAGAGCCCAGGCGCTGCTGGTTGATCATGTGGTTTTTTTTTTTTTTTCCATGCAGTTTACTTGGGAAAGGGGGATTTGCAGGAGCAGCCAGTCAGTGAGCAGCCTGCTGTTTGCTTACAGATTGCTTTTTTTCCCTCTCTTTACTCCAACCCGATTGGTTTGCAACACGAGAAAGAGGCGTTCTCCTAATCTCTTCCCCTCCCCCCTCCAAAAAATACCGGCCCCACCTTCCTGCAACCTGACTAATTGAATTACTGGGAGATCTGAGTGGCCTGTATCCACTATCGGAGCCTGGCTGCTGAGAGTAACCCTTTGGATGCTGCATTTCGGTTAGAACGTTCGGAAGGATTCGACACCTTTTATTTCAGAGCAACCGGGGGAAGGGCAAGGAGGGGGGGAAACGGGGAGGTTGTTGGAGGGGGTGTCATTCTAAGAGTAGATTGTCATCCCTTTATCAGGACAAAGTGTGTTGCCTGTTCTCCATCAGTGACACAATCTCTGCTGATTGGGGCGTAGCAAAAACAACTGTATTTTAATTGTAAAATACGGTCCCTTAATCTTAACATTTTATATATCCTGGTGTTTGCTTGTCTAAAAAACCAGACTGATGTCGTTTACTTCTTACCAGTGATTTAAAAGTTAATAAACGGGAAGGGAGACATTTCTTTAAATTGGTTTTACATGGTGCTCTGAAAACACGTATATTTTTTTTAATTCTGAGAAATCACAGTTGAAAATTATTACAATTCAGTGCAAACCCGCAGCTGAGAGGACATTAATGCGGCAAGTGATCCGATTAGAAATACTTTACACCCAGTACATTTCAGCTAAAAGAATATATTCATACCCCTCTCGGCAACTGCTCAATTCTCTTCAATCCCACTTCCCTAAAGGCGAAAATGTCATTAACACTTACAGGGTGGTTGGGGCGGGGGAGGGGGGGGGAGGGTGCAGAAAGGAAGGAGGGATGAGTGAGCGAAGAAAAGGTTTCCTTTATTCTTAAGAATATAGCCCCTTCTTCTTCGACTTTATAGACAGGACCATTGACATTGGCATTTGTCGAGCTACTGAAACATAGTAACCTGGCAGCAAAGTTTGCGCAAATCACCTAAAGTGCCTCTGGGTTTTCACCTGAGGACGTCAAGGCACATCTGCGTCTGGTGTCCAGAGGGAGAGTCTGCAGCACAGAGACTGCTGCAATTTTGCAGCTTGTTCCCGAGTGCCACGCTGGGGCCACTGGAGACTACCGCTCTCGAGGTGTTAGTCTCAAGCCTCCCTTTGTATTTTTTCTCTTATTCTCACAAGAGTTTTCCGTCCCAGTAGGAAGGACTGGACCGAAGAAAAAAGAGAGCAAATCAGATTTTGCCCTAAAGCCTGCCACTTCTGCCTTGTGCATACTAGTCCAATAAAACACATTAGCTTTTTCTCTCACATCCTTTCTTTCTGTTTCCCTCGACCTAGCTCAAGATTTCTGAGGCTCTGGGTTGTTTGAAAGCGCCCAGACTCCCTCCAGTGGTGGATTTTTATTACACACTCCTTAAGTGTGTTTCTGGAAGTACAGTCAATAGAAAGGACATATCAAACTTAATAGATTGATATTCGCCTAGATTTTAAGAAAAGGAAAAACTCCAATAGGAATAGTGCTAGCTTAGAGTTTTATCTCATGTATGCTTTGTATTTTTCCCACAATGTTGCTGAAAAAAATTCCTCAATTAGGAATATTAAATTACTTGAAGATAATATACAAAGAAGTTGCCTAGCTAGTTCATTCTTCCAAAATTTGTGATTGGGTCTAGATTTTAATCTATGGAATTCTGAAACCTCAAATAAAAATATTCAGTAGTCACCAAAGAAATCTAACACAGAGACACCCACCTTTTTCTAGAAATTTTAAAGATATTACCCAACTAAAATAGAAGAAAAGGACTTGAACAGTAAGCTTCAAAGAATAAGCATTTTCTCCATATAATGCTTCATTGGAAACAAGTTTTCCCAAGTTTTCATTATTGTATGTAATCTAGGCTTAGCCTAGGTTGTGGTTTTTTTTATCTGAGAAAGTATCCAAGGTTAGCTTCCCCTCAACTTCCTGGGAATAGTAACAATAGACACTTAGATGACTGAATCAGCATTAAAAGAAATCTGGACCACATCAAGGGATACATATATCTTTAGTAAGAGGAGCAACTACTGCCTTTAATAAATCTTTTATGGAAAAGTGCTAATATTTTTGTGGGTGGAACATTTCTCAAAACAGGTGCTGTATTATATATCTATGGCATAACTACTTACCTAAGTTGTTAAAAAATGAAAAATAAAAAAAGAATTATACACATTTATTTGTTGCTTGAAATAAATGCTATATATAAATGAGAAAACTAGATGCAAAAAAAAGAGCTTGTAGATTTCAAAATATTTAGTATCTTCCTACTTTGGTTAATTATATGATCATTCATAGCAGACACAAGGACTTTAACCAAATTATCAAATTATTCTTCCTTTTAAATATTGAGAGTATGAGAACAAAGAAAAATATGGAAATATACAACTTAGACCTAGTTCAAACAGGCACATGAAATGCCTATAAATGAATATTCATATGATCCTTTTGTTGCTTATATAATTAAGAACAACTATTTGTTTTGAAGCTATAACTGTTTAATGATTATTACTTTTTCATTTTATTCTGAACTGAAGAAATAAAACAAGCATTTCCATAACAGCAGAATAGGAAGGGGGGAAAAAGATGATTGCACATGAAATTGAAAACCTACTATGTACAACTTGCTATTCCCTTTAAATATACAATAGTTATCATGTAATTTTTTTCTTTTTTTCTCCCCCCCACCTCAGAAGGCTAACATTATACACACACACACACACACACACACACACACACACACACACACATACAATCATTCTATACATACTTCTATTAGTTCTTTCTCTGGATGCAAATAGCATTTTTCTTCAAAGGTCCTTTGTAGTTAATCTTGGTACTTATAATAGTCAAAATCATTTAGTCGCTCAAAGTTGTTTTTAAAACAATATTGCTATTGTTATATTCAACATTCTCTTGTATTACTTTTTTTAATAGTCTTTTCCCCCAGTTACATGTCAAGAAAATTTTTAGCATTCGTTTTTACAAGAGTTTGAGTTCCAAATTTTTCTTCCTCCTTCCCCTCCCCCTTCTGAAAACGGTAAGCAGTTTAATACAGTTTGTACATGTGTGTGCCGGCTGCGCCGTGCACTCTTAACAGGCTGCCAGGGTCACACATACCAGTCTTCGGAGCCCACCCGAATAAACTTAGAGACGAGCCGATCAGGAGGTGCAAACACCCAAACTTTACTCAGAAACCATCACAGCAAACCAAGCAGGAAAGCAAGAGAGCAGGAGCAAGCAAACAGGAGCCCGACCAGCTCAAGAGCTCTGATCTCTAACCCCCCCCCTTATATACCTTCCCTATAGCCCCTCCTCCTCGCCGTCCCACCCTCACATGGCACAGCCAGACAATCCCTCACACCTGTCCCTCACACATGTGCTATCCTGTAAAAACATTTCCATATTTGTCACAGTTGTGAAAGAAGAAACAGATCAAAAGGGAAAAAAAACGCAAAAAAGAATAAAGT